TGTATATATAAATATGTATGCTGAATATGATGGTTTTTTTAATATAATGTCTGAACAAAGTCCTTTGTGAAAAATATATGAAATTGAATTGTAATTTTTTTCGCGAATCTAAACACATTGTTAATGTACTCAAAACTGTGCTGGAAAGCAAAAAATTTTTTTTGATATCTATATATGCATATGTAATCATATCCGAACTTAAAGGAAAAGAGGAGCAAATCCTATTTTATTGGCCTTGCAAAAACTATTAACTCTATATAAATATATTTTCTATGTTATTGTATATCTTGTATGTAAATGATTTAGTTGGGTTTATTTTGGAATTTTCTATGTAAAAATTTAGAAGCAAATGCAAAATGCTAAATGTCAATTGTGAAATGCAAAATGCATATGTGTAAAGCGTAAGCAGATTCTAAAGAGAAAAATCTAGTTCACAGAAAATGCATATACAGTAAATATGTAACACTTAATAAATTTAATTGAATTATAACATTTTTGCAATAAAGTTAACATCAATAAAAATGACTTAGATATTATATATAATTATATTTAATCTTGAAGCGTTGGAGTTGTGCAGAAATTTCTTGGGATTCTCTTGAAGTTGTACATTATAGGGAGCGACCAGTTAGGAAGCCCAATCCAGCATTGAAGCCCAATTACAATAAAAGGCTCTAGTTAAAATGGATGGTCAAATCGTGTATCCAAAGAAGATCATTTCTTATTTATATAGGTCTCGGAAACTTTAAAATAGAATTTCTTTTGTAATATATTTTTTTTTTTTTTTTTATATGATCGAAAATTTAAATAGGAATTGCTATAGAACAAATGATAACTGGTTTTTTTTTCTAAACTTAATCACAGGCGTAATGTCATATTGAATCATGGTCTTATGATACAATACAATTTCTATGATATAATAATTATATAGATATACAGGCGCAACATGGATTAGCTCAACTTTTTTTTTGCTGCACACGATCGGGCATAGGCCGCAGCATTAATTTATTACGCTTTAAAGTTGTTGCTTACGTGTTTCGTACGTCAATCGAATCGGCTAAATAAAGCAGGCTAAATTGATAATTTTTTTTTAGACGATAAGCAAGCGACCGACTGCCTGGCCGGCTATCTATCAATCTATATATTTTTTTTTTTTCGCAGAAACTGTGAAACGGAAAGCAAAGGAAAACAAGAAACCGTTGACTTTTTTTTTTAACGGGAAACTTTGTATGAAACTTATACCATCATACCCCGTTAATTTGTATATTTAGCGCTCTTCGTCGGCTCATGACATAAGCAGCAGCAAAAAAAGTAAGGAAAGAAAGAATTTTTTTTTTGCCAAACGCTTCGATGATGAATCAAAAATTCATTTGACCCAAGAGACTCACTTTTTTTTTTATGTGTACACGTTTCAACACATGTATACATGCCAAAGTTTATGTGTGTGTGTTTTTTTTTAGCCCCCGCTCTTCGTGTGGCTATGACTCACACCTACTTTGGCTGTCCAGGCGTATGCGTATGACTCTCTTAATGTTGCGGAGGGGGAGATGCGAGCTCAAGGTACATCGATGTTTTTTTTTTTTGGGTTTGCTGTTGAGATGTGCTGAATATTTGTAATTTTTAATGAAACGTTTTTTTTTTATTCATTTTAAATAATTTTGAACGTGCACAGGAAATTCAGTTTTGGTCCGCGTATAACTGACATCCATAGATGTAGCGCTGCTCGCATATCAAAATTCACAGAGCCCACCAGCTGCGACTTCTGTCGTCCAAATTGGCAAACTCAATTTCCTCAACAGGCCCGATTTCTTTTTTTTTTTTTCTTTTTGGCGAAACATTCTATTCATTATCGGTTTTATAATTTGTAATCTAGGTTTTCGTTTGTTAGTCACAAACTTTTAATTGCCGAGCCAAAAATGACGGAAACCTTGTCGTTTCCGTTCTGTAACTGCCAAGAACTTTGAGGGAGCTATCAGATTTGAGATTTGACTTGAGATCCAGGCTTTATATAATGAAACTCAGAGAAACTGAATTTAATTTCCGTCGAAAATGAAAAGTAAAGGGAGAAATGTACTATTATAGGTAAAAAACAGTAAAATTATTCTAGTCCCAAGATGTACAACTGGAATAGAGAAAAAACACAATTCCAAACGTTTTATTTATCGAATATAAAAATATATTTTATGGTCATATATATGAGTACATTATCAATTGAAAGATAACTTAAAGTTCTTAAAGAAGCAACGACAAAAGCACAAATTATCAGCCAACAAAACAAACTACAACAAAACACAAAATACACAACAAAAATATAATTTAAAAAATCACAACATATTAACATTTTGTTTAATACTAATAAGAAAAGAAAAGATAGAAATCATAAACTGTAAATTTCATCATTCCTATTGTTAATACTAACCAAATTATTGTTAGATAAATTGACATGAAATTTAACGCATTTTCTATGTTCTTTGTGTATATTCGATGAACGATGACGATTGTAAAATTATGTACAAATATCAACAATATATATACACACACGCCATATATATACATATCAATATGATAAAATGAAAGGTTGCCCGTAAATTGGCCATGGTTGAAGCTGATTTGGAGCGTGCCGAAGAACGTGCCGAACAGGGTGAAAAGTACGTTGAAAAAACATTTGTTTGAAATATCAGTTAAATGTTGCGCCAAAATGCTTTCAAAACTATTTTTGTTGTGCCTAAAAAATTCAAATGAAACAGTGTGGCCATAGTTGTGTAAGTTTGTTTTTGCAGCGCTGTTAACTAACAGTTGTTACCCATGTTAAAAACAGAATATACCAACGCAACCTAACCCCAGTCTCTTGCATAGTTTTATTGTTTTATTTATTCCGTTATTTTATTTTTAGCTAGCTAGCTTGGCATTATATCTATATAAATATTTGAAATCGGCAAAAAATGTGAATATCTCGATCAAAATTAACGAATGTTCCTGTATGTGTGTATTTAACGCGCATGTGTTTATCTTAGTTGTTGTAGAAGCATATCACTTCATGCTCTCTCATAATGCACAACATATTCACATTTTCGGCCAGAATGCAACTGCCAATACATTAATTGAACTAATTTGAAAAAAATTACCCTTTCTTATGCGCGCAATGCCTAACCACAAAATGCGTTACGTGTTGCTATGTCTGTGTTCTGTTTAATAAACCCGCCTGCCTGTTAATGCCTGCTCACCTGCTGACCGCCTGATCGCTCTCACCTGTGAAGGTGGCCAGAAAATTAGTGCTCATGGAACAGGATCTGGAACGTTCCGAGGAAAAAGTTGAGCTTAGCGAAAGGTTTGTCCTGCTTTATCTGTCTTTAAATACTAACTGCACTTTCAACTATGCAATCGAATCGCCACCCCAAAAATATTGACTGAAAATATTCAATATAGGAAATTAGAAAAAAAACAATATTTGACTCTAAGGCAAAACTTTAAGAAAAGTGAAATCGTTTCAGTGACATGTAGTTGGCTCCAACAACAATTGCTGTTATTATTATATTTTATTTATTTAAAAACTTTGCTATGAGCCGAGAGACCTTCGTCTGGTTTGGCGAGTCATGATTTAGTTTCTTTCTTTCTGTTGTTATTTTTTCCTTCTTTTTTTTGACACTTCTGTCGCCTCCAGTGCCAAAGTTTGGAAAGTAAAGTGTCACATATTTTTTTTTTGGCTTTTATTTTTGGCGTTGGCGATGAAAAAATTGCGCAAAAACTTAATTTAACTACCGCATGAAACGCGCTTTTTGTTTTTTGTTTTCCCATCGAAAGTCCAATTAAAGACAATTTGTGTAAATCTTTGAAGCTAATTTGTTTTTTTATTTTTTGATGTGTAGCAAAATTGTGGAGCTTGAGGAGGAGCTGCGCGTTGTGGGCAACAACTTGAAATCCCTTGAGGTCTCTGAGGAGAAGGTCAGTATGAAATGTTACAAATCAGTCAAGATGATTGCTCACGATCGAAACTATCGACTTTTGTTCATCAATAAATATATTTTTATATTATTTTTACAATATTAAATATGTAAATCCCACACCCCCATAAACAACAACAACAATAAATAGGCCAACCAACGTGAGGAAGAGTACAAGAACCAAATCAAGACCCTGAACACTCGTCTAAAGGAGGTAGATACAACAATATAAAATAAAAATGAAATCCTTCAAGCGAAAGGAGTTTCCCAGAGTTGTGGAAAATGCAATCAAAACCAACCAGCGATTTCTTGTTCATATATTATTATTGTTGTTGTTTGTTTTTTTTTTCGAAATAATTTGAGCGCACAGGACCGCTCGAAAAAGCCGTTGCACAACACTGGCCACGCGTGCATTCATATAAAATGTCTACCGACAATTCGTGCAACTTGTCCTTTAATATATGCCCTTAAAAATGTTTATTTGTTCTGATTTATGATTTATGTACTAATTCTGATTATATTTTCTACTTTTATTTTCATATATTTGTTAACACGCTCCGCTTAAATGTTGCTGACACAAAATCAAAATACAAATCATTATTTTTGCGAATATATTTGTGAATGATATATAAACAAAAATGATTTGCGCACTGGATTTTTGATCAACACCCCCTAAATGGCTTAAAACATGCTGTCCCCACCTCCCTGCCACGCCTCAAACTCTGCATGCATCAATAATTTGCTAAATAATTTGCAATTTTTGTTTGCTTAACCCGCAAAACAATTTAATTTCCACCAATTCAACCAACGACCACAAAATATAAATATATGTATGTAAAAACAGGCTACACAAAAAGAGGAAACCTTTGAAACGCAAATCAAGGTTTTTTTTCATGCCTTGAAAGAGGTATATGCCCACTTGTATACAATATTTTAATTTTAAACCAATATTTGTAAGCGGTTTGTGGTCTCTGGTGTTGGTAAATCTATTAAATATTAAAACCAAGAAAAAAGAAAATATTAAATTGCACAAATCGTTATTCTCAATTTTAATTTAATTGTACATAGTCGTCACATTTGATATTTTCTTTTAAAAACAAAATAACCAAAACTAAAATCCAAAAAAACGCAAGAGCAAACGCAATTGCCCAAACGTCTGGGAGAGAATACAACAAATCAAATCAAGTCAAAAAAGAAAAGAAAACTTATTTAAGCAGTATCCAAAATGTATATCAATAGCGTGCATCATGGCAAGTATTTCCCTATATATAGGACGTGTGTGTGTACATTACTTGAAAATTGAAAAGAACTTTTTGTGCATTGAATGCAAATGATAAAAAAAAAACTGACGTTTTACAACACTACTGCTTGATAGTAGAAACTGTACCCAAATCAAACAAAACGACTTAAAAATTGAATTAATTCTATAATATTCGGTAGATATTTTATTGTCGAAGCACTTGCACAACCTACAAACACAGACACATGCACACAGACACATACACACACATACAAACTACACACATAATGATGATAATGATAATGATTATGTTGTATGTCCTGCACTGTTATTGATATACCAAAAATTTGTTGTATATTTCTCGACGTCTAGGCACGCGAAAATCAAAAAATATTTGAACAGGAGATCATTCAATTCAAATTAAATGTAGAAACTGTAAGTCGCCGCAGCCTAAATAGTGTCTTTTTTTTTTGTATAAATCATTTAAATTTGTGCTGATGTTAAAAAATAATTTTAACAGCATTTCGAATTGGCGCCAAGTTTCAATTTTTCCTTATATTCAGTGACTGCGTAGCGTCGTACAGCGATTGTTGTAGTTGAATTAAATTAAATTATGAACACTCCCGTAAAAATGATTGTTTAATGTGTCAACTTTAGGTTTTGTCTAAACCAAATCACCCTAAATAAATATAAATATATATTAAAAACAAAAAAAGTGTAAGCATATGGATTAAGTGATCAAAGTTGTGTTATCTTCTTAATTGCTATGCTGTTTATATTGAATGTTTTATTTTTAGAATTTTCGTTTATTTATAACACATCACAGCTACATACATATTTAAACACATTGATATAATTTAATCAATAATATGTAAACTATTAATAATTCATGTATTCATATAAATTATTATGTACTTATCCCGCTGGTTTTGGTAGAAAATTGTTTGGGAAGCTTCTTTTACTTATAATAAGCTTGAAATTTGCAAATTCTATTGAAACGTTGCGTTTTACAACACTGGCATTTGAATAGAACTTGTATGTTAACCAATATGAATAATGCCTGCAGAAATTCATCTTGGTTAACTGTAGACGCTGCATTTCATTAATGTATGTTTATATTTATTTCACTACTAATAACTGTATTTTCTCACTTTCTGTTTACCGACACTTAAAGGCTGAGGCACGCGCTGAATTCGCTGAACGTTCCGTTCAGAAATTGCAGAAGGAAGTCGACAGGCTCGAAGGTATGTCTGTTCAAGAATATTATCTTATATCTCTAAGACTTTAAAGTTCAGAATTTTAGAAAAATTTCAAATAGTACAATTTCATTATTATTATATACAATATTTGTAGCAGTATTTCAAATATACAAATTGTAGAATTTTTTATAGATAAGTTTATTTATTTATATTTTTTTTATATATATATTTAAGTAGGTGCAAAATTAAGTTCCTTATTCCAAAACTCAATTTCCTTATGTTAGTCCAGATTTACACTTATTATTTTTACTTGTATTTAATTTTTTATTTTTATTTCTATGCCTATTAATATAACTATTTTAATATTTATTTTTCATATGATTTTGTTCGTTGTTGTGCTTAACCGAAAAAAAAAAACAAACAAAACAAAAACCAATTTCAACTTGTGTGCCGCTTGTCGCTCCCCGCCTGCTGAACCAACGCCAACGCCCTAATGTTTATTGTTATTTAAAATGCATGCCACGTATTGCTGTGCTCTTTTTTGTTCCTCCTTTGTTATTGTTGAAACAAAAAAGACGACTTGTTGAACGAACGCGCCAAGAACAAACTGCTGCAGGAGGAGATGGAAAACACTTTACATGACATACAGAACATGTAAACAAATAATTTGCAGCTTAAGTAAATTAACTAAACTGCCTGCTTTGACGTCAATACAGAAAACTGGCGCTTTCCATATTATTGTAATAGAAAACACAAATACACACACACACACAGACACGCCCACCCACCCACACACACTTACACACACACACACGCATACGCATACTAAGGCACACAGGACAACGCCATGTGTCTTCCATGCCGTTAAATTTTTGATAAACTTTTAAATGAAAACGTTAATAATTTTAAGCGGTAAACTCAAAGAAAAGCAGACAAGAAAGAAAAAACTGTTAACAAACAAAGAAGCAAAACTAAAACAAAAACAAACAAAAACAACTAAAACTAAACTAAATAGAAGAATATCTTCTATTTCTATTGAGAGCATTCCAAATTTTTTTATGAATCTATACATTCATATTTTCAAGCAGTGCAAGCTGTTGGCCATTCGCTTGTCCGCGTTGCGCTGTGAATGGCATACACTTGTTTGCTGTCCTTTGGAATGGCACAAAATTATACAAGAATTAAAAATAATGGCGGCATTTTTTTTTTTAAATTAGATGCTTTACAAAACTGTTGCAATATTTTGTTTAAACTTTTTCTTTCTATTTGCTTTTGCTAGCCTTCTTATTATTCTTTTACTCTTTGTTTTCCTGATATGGATCGAAGTAATTAATTATTATAGATGACAAACACAACTTGCGAATTAGTAAAAAAATAATTATTTATACAAATGTATATGTAAAGTAACTGAAAAGGAAAGATTCGATTTAAAAAAATATTTGTATTCGTATTTTCGTCGCCAGCTAAACTACTGTATTAATTATGCTAATATTTACATTGTTTATACAATTTAAACAAATCGTGTTTGCAAAACTTTGTGTAATATTTGCTAAAAAAAAAGTTGCCACGCCTATTTTGTAGACACAAATTCAAAGCAAATACCGAAATAAACAAAAAAAAAAACAAAATAAAAGACAAAACACCATCAAATGACACGCACACCATTCCAATTGAAAAAAATCATAATTAGACAGCTATTGTTAACTTTCTATATTTTATTTTAAATTAAAAAATCCCTAATTTCTATGCGCTATCTTTGCTGAAAATGTGTTCTTGCCCCAACAAAAGAGCAAGCTAAAAAGAAAATAAACCTAACATAAAATGGCATTAAATGAGAAATCAAAAACAAAATGAAAAAAAAAAAAATTGATTTATTTACGATTTACATAAATTAATTATTTATATTTTTAATATATAAAAAAAATTTAGCTTGTAGAAAATTTATTAACATTACTTCTATCCAGTTTACACAAATCAAAAAAAAAGATGTGGATCATTTAAAGAGTGTTAGGTTCCTTGCTGTTCATC